TGGGATCCACCTTAGGTTTGATCCTCAGTCTATCCATGGGATTAGAGACAAGCCATTCCTTGTGGCTCACCTCAACTGCATTGCGAACCATTCCCCACCACATGTCTGAAGTGTATGAAAGGTCTCCCATGAGTGAGTCAACCAGGCTAAGCCAATCACCATATTGGAGGGGTGTGCTATTCTCATGCAAAACCGGAAGCTCAAAAGACCTAAGGGTCTCGCCAGCATTTTCACCCATGACATGTCGGGAATTCCCACTACCATCCATTGACTGCGGAAAGGGTGGAATGAACTGCCCCAGGTTGGTTCCCCCAAAACACAACAAATTGGTGGATTGCTGGGTTCGTGGTGGCGACTTCGGCGGAGGGCCCGGTGGTGGTGGTGGCACAAAAGCTTCTTCATCCCCTGCACTAACAAAGGATCCAACCGAACCATGAGACCAGTTGTCACCGGCCATCTGTGCCAAACCCTTCCTAAACTTTTCTTCCGCATCCCTCAAACACCGTAATCGGAATAGTTCAATCGGGTCGGTTTCCACATGACCTTTTTGGGGAGTATTTTGTTGGGATCCCCCCACATTTCCACAAGTCATCCGGGTGGCTTCAACCTGGGTTTCACGACTCCAGAAGGGGCTCACCCTATCCCAGCTTCCAAGGCACTGCTGATTCCCGCCAAGATACGAAGTGCCATCCGGAGGGATGCCAGCCGAGGCACAATGAAGCCAAGGATCAACAGGTCTCGAAGAACCCAACTGAGATCCGCATGCCTCAGTTCGACGTTCCTCAGTTTCTGCAGGTTCGCCTATGTAGTAGCTTTCAACTCCCCTACTACTTGAACCTCCCAAAACTGATTCGCCGCCCGGAGGCGGGATGACTTTCACTCCACCTCCAACCACACCATCCGGGGAATTCCTCGGATTCCTTATTGGTGGATTCTTCTCACCAGTTCCTACACCTTTGCCATTTCCACTAGGTTTCGGTCTTTCACCCCTTGGCGGTTCATCAGCAAAACGGGCTCGGGGTTCAGCTGACTTTGACCTCGGTGACTCCTTCCTAGCTTCACTGCCCTCAGACTTACCAACAACAACCTTTCGGACTTCAGGGTTCTGACTCCTTGTGGGCCTATCCTCAAGGTCAGCATTACCTAAGGTCAACGGGTTTCCTACCAAGTCCCCTAGCATACCACCCTCAGCTCTACCTCTTTCACCGGCATGCTCCCTAAGTGGTCCGCTTTCTAAGGCTCTTTGGTTTTTTGACCCCCTTTCCTTGGCGCTGTCTTCCAAGAGGCTTTCCATCAAGTCATCAGCTGCTTCCGCTGCTTTTGCTGCTGCCGCAGCGCTAGCAGCACGTTTCTGCACGGAGGCGTCTCGGCGGCGCACAAGCGACATGTTGGGCTCATAACCCACGACGCTCCATGCAGCAGCTTGTTTTCCAATCTTGAGCCATAGGCCCACCAAGTTCTCTGTGACGTGCGTGTCATCCTTATGCAGGGGCCCTGAGGCCTAATCAGCTGTTTCCAAGACTGACCCTTGACAATCTGACAGCTTCAAAGTTTCAAAAATCAGGGGCTGGTGCAGTTATGTTACCGCAAAAACAAATGAGCCAGCCTTTTGAGATTTCCTCGGCAACCAATTCTGATGTAATGTCAGGATGGTCCTCTGCAGTTTTCCAGTTAGTAAGATGAATAGACAAATCTGAAGGTGCAGGTTCCTGCGTTTCCACTTTGGATGCAAATTCATTGGAGGGCTTGATGTCCTCCTGAAAACCTGTCGATACCCCTGCAATGAGTTCAGAAAATAAATGGGCGTCCGGGTCCTCCATCAAAGTGCTCAATGCTGCCAGAGCGTGAAGACATAACGGCTGATCAGCTCTAACTTGCCAATCCAGAGGTGATGGGATGGGCAACAACGAGTCCAAAGAGGCCCGAAAACTATTTATAATGTCATCTGAAAAAGGAGGGTCTGTCTTCTTCTGCAAACAATGAGCCGTAATCATCTTATGCCAGTTGTTTTGAAGGATTTTTGGGATCCAATGATCTCTCGAACAGCTCTAAAGAAATTGGGGGCTTCGGAAGGAGGTTTTGACCAATCTGGCTGGGATGGAAGACCTCCCCCATCAACAAACCCTGTGGGATTCTGAAAAAGATGTTTTTTGGGAAATAAATCAAAAACGTTCTGCCAGCAAACTTGGGTATCCAGTGGTGTAAGGAGCACAGAAATTTTTGAAGCAAATGCTGATGCCAAAGCTGGGGGGTACGCCGCAGAACCCTTGCTCATGTAGACCCCATGCTCATCTCGTACACCAGCGATCGAAGGATGAGCTTGCTTACCATGGTCACAAACCGCTGCTATCTCTGACAGGGGGTGAAAAGAAGATGCAAATAACCACGTCTTCATGATGTTCCAATTGAAAGCACATGCAGCTAATAAGATCAGGGAACATCCGGCTAACCTGACCCATTCTTGAGTGCATGATTCACTCCAGCTCATAGCACCTGATGGTTGTTCTAAATGTCCATGCCCACCTGCAGAATATGTTACAGAAATCGAATTGACACATCTGTCCAAGATGGTAGCACTATCCTGCAAACGTTGGGTCTCCAATGGGGTCAAATCTGGTACCCCGTCCAACATGTCTGGTGTTCGAATGGCCTTGGGGCCACCTGGACGAAGTTTAAGCAGGCTATATTCTGTGCACGACGGTGACGCCGCTGAATATCCAATGACCCCGGATCCACACAAACGCAGCAATTGTTCATAAAATGGATCGTGCAACAAATCCATGTTTGAATCCACCAGTAAATCTATAGCCAGTGCTGGGAGCCCCAAGGCAGAGACAGCTGTAGTCAGTGGTGCATCGACGCCACTGCAGATGTCTAGGAAGATCTTGGTTCCCTGACAACGCCAAGGAGTCAAAAGTTCTTGTGCAAAATTTGTTTATTACCGGCAAGATATGATCTACGGGAAAAAGCGGTAATTTGTTAAAGCGAACCAGACGACGTAGCCAGGGCAAAATCTAGTTGGACGTTTCGATATAGTTAAAGTAAAGTGGAGAGAAAGTAATTAGGGGCCCCAGTCATAGGAAGTAAAGGCAAGAAAGCAGAGGATAAAAGATAGGTAGGAAGGAAGGAGTTGTAAAAGGGAAGGCAGGGGAGGAATACACGGGAATTTAATTGCTTTATAATTTGGGTATAATTAGATAAAATAAATATAATTATTATAAAATTTGAGTACGTAAAGAAAGCTGTGCTGAACCAGCTGAAGCTGTCACATGAAATTGCGCTCTGAGGTGCTCTGGGAGCGGCTTGTCGCCGAAACCTGTGATTTTGGGGTCGTTGCCAACGGAATGGGTGGCAACTGAGCCTACGCTGTGCTTTGAGTAATCAATAGGGGGGAGAGTAGGATCGCGTCGCGTGATACGTGTAAACTGAACCAATCGCAAGACTCGACCAGAAACTCCAAACTAAAAATTTCACATCACATCAAAACGACATGCCACAGAAAATCACTGCAGTTGAAACGACATGTGTGTAAACTGACATCAATTGAAAGGCTGAAGCAGAAACCTTCACACGCATTTTGGACACGTCGGTGGTGAAGCCTGCACTCTGTGTCTTCACGTTGTACCATTGTACAAACGCTGTAGTTGTGTGAGCCTTCACACAAAGTTTTCAGCAATCCACCAAGCTTCCAAGTCTGTAGAATTGAAACACCCAAGCTTTCAAGCTTGTAGGATTGAAACATCCCAGTCTGTTGTCGTTCAAGATGCCTCACCCCTGGGTGACAAGTGCAGGCATCATCCCAAGGGTGGGCTGGGCGGGTACCCAAAAGTTTTCTCCAAGCCATAGCTCACGAAAAATAAAATTCGTCATGAATCAAGTGCAAGTTGAAGTCATCAAAACTGAATGTTTGACAAGCATTGACAGTCACAGTAAAAAACCACAAGTCACCTCTGTTGAAGTCCAAGTACTGTAAAATTTCCAGAAGCTCAAAAAGGCATCGAGAAAATGATTCCAGAGAAACTTTGCCACACTCTGCAAATTGAAAACTGGAATTTGTTTGTTGAGGTTGTTGTTCGGCAACGGAGTTAACCCGGCGACGAAGCAGTACCCAAGCAAAGCACCCACAACGAATCCCACCCACCCGCCCTGATACCCAAAGCGCCGCATAGACCCACAGGGCAAGCCCAGTGAAGCCTACGCTGTGCTTTGAGTAATCAATAGGGGGGAGAGTAGGATCGCGTCGCGTGATACGTGTAAACTGAACCAATCGCAAGACTCGACCAGAAACTCCAAACTAAAAATTTCACATCACATCAAAAACGACATGCCACAGAAAATCACTGCAGTTGAAACGACATGTGTGTAAACTGACATCAATTGAAAGGCTGAAGCAGAAACCTTCACACGCATTTTGGACACGTCGGTGGTGAAGCCTGCACTCTGTGTCTTCACGTTGTACCATGGTACAAACGCTGTAGTTGTGTGAGCCTTCACACAAAGTTTTCAGCAATCCACCAGGCTTCCAAGTCTGTAGAATTGAAACACCCACCGCAGCGAAAGACGAAAAGGAAGATTGGACATTTACCAAGGTGTCTTATCGACTCTCTTCCTCTTCTTTTCTGGTTCCTTCGGAATCGATGTTTTCGCCAACAAACGTGCCTCATCAAAATCTGCCTTGACCTGCCAAAGTGCATGTATGATCTCCGTCGGGATATCATCATATTCAACATGTAGCCTTTTCTCCATGTCCAGTTGTGTGAAAACAGAGTTAGTGATATCATCTGCAACCGTGTTCTCTTCACGGGGTCTCCATTTCAGCTTGACCACCGTCCTAGATCGTGCAAGAAGTGATGAAAGTTGCATGTTCACCAACATCAACGGCCACTTCGTGGTCGACCGCTTCTGAGATAAATATTCATTTGCTCTATTGTCCGTACCTGCTGTCAAATGTAACTCAAGCTCCTTCCTAGAACGAGCGTCTCCCGACCATCCAAACACAACTAATGCTGCAAGTGTCGCCAATAATTCGGCCGAAGTTGAGGCCCACTGTGACCCCTTCCCATGTGAAAATAAATATGGCACGTCGGACTCCGACAGAATAAGCTGGAACCATCGACCAGTATTTCCCATCCACCAAGGACAACTGAAGTGTCAGTGCACTTTGCATCTGTCCTGAATTGCTCACCTGTGAATGTGGCCGGCCTCTTCGCTGAGACCATGTAAGTTTCAGATCTGAACTCAGTCAGCAAATATGTCATTGTCAAGATCACCGCATCCGGAAGCTTCGCAACTGTGCTGCCGGATGTGGCTGATGCCCAAGCATACAATGGCGATAAATGCGGCTTCAGCCACACCAGTAACTGAGAGACGAATCCAAGCCGGCCAAGAAATTCAGAGAATTCACGGGTCACAACCACAAACCTCTTTTCCGCAGCGGTGTTGATCCATTTCACAAGCCAATCGCCCCTTCGTAAAGAAATCCCTACCTCATTGAGGTCATATCTCAGTTGGTATCCAACAAATTCAGAGGAGAACCCGCCACGAAACTTGTGATAGGCAAACGGCGTGCCAACCAGTTCAAAGGCCAAAATCCAAACCCACAAGTTCGTAAATTTCTCCCTGCCGACAAATGATCCGTGTAAATCGTCAACATAAACCAGATGAAGAAACCTAGCGTTCATCATGAGATGCCCTACAAATCGTCCAACCATTGCAAAGAGTTTCGCCCACCAGTAGGGCGCGCTTGAGATGCCAAAAGTTCCAACCCTGTTAACCCACACTGTAGGTGAGTCAGTGTTTGCTTTGCAACACATGTATGGCCAATCACAACGACGCACCTTCACAAGTCTGTGTGCCGCTTTAATGTCTGCCGACACACAAAAGGGAGCTTCCAAGGTTTCAACAGATTCCCTCACCACTGCTGCAACTTCAGCAGGTCCAGGGCATTGTATCTGATCTCTGTAAACAATGCGATTGTTAACTTGAACTGAATGTGTACCATCATGTAGTGGCCTGACGGTGCCGTCAGGCTTGGCAATCGCAGCCATGGCAGCAATCCTGATACGCTCTTCACCAAACTCCTGCTTCAACGTAGAAAACCTGGTCGGGTACATGCGCCCCAATGCCTCCTCTTCTCTGAACTTGGCTTCCAACTCAGTGGATGAGACCTGAGCTGATTGATAGTTGTTTGCAATGGGATTGAACTCGGAGTCATCAAGTTTTCTATGCTTCACTTTCTCAGGGTATACCTGAGGTGTCCGTGGCAGTGGTGCATCAACACACAATGGTACCCCGGTCGCAAAACTATCCTCTATGTCCACCAGAGTTGGGGCGTCTGGATCTCCAAACACTGTGAGCCATTGTGACAGCCCCCTAAGCAAAAACGGTTGTCCCTCATCAACAATAAGTGCATCTGCTGGATCAGACAAAAGGGAAGCCCACCTCTTTCTCAATGCTGTAAGCTCTCCAACTGAAAACGGTGAGGATTCAAACTTTCCAGTAACCAATCTGAACGCCGCTGCCCTGACATCAGGGATGCATCTGTGAACCATATCCTGCAGCAAAACAAAAGTCTCTGACGCCAACTTTCTCATTGTGTCCGACCTCCTCACACCTCTTGCAAGAGGTGGCCATCTCGTGGGTGAGCAAAGACCAAACCCATCCACAAACTCACGAGAGCGGCCATCCCATTCAACACTAATAGGGCGGCCCCTATTCAAGCATGCTTCCATATCAAAGCCCTGTGTGTCATGTACCTCGTCATCATCGTTTTCAGCACATGCATGGTTCTGAGCCTCTCCTGGGGCCGTATCTGTTGTTGGCGTAGCTGTATCCCTGCAAAACACCGCTGTGCAAGAAGGCATAGCACTTGACTCAAGTGGTGCCGCTGCTGACTCAGTTGACTCAACGTTGGAGGCTGTTTTGTGAGAAGGGGCAATACTCGACTCAAGTGGGGCTCCAGCCCCACTTGACTCAAGTGAAGCCAATTGCTTGCCATTCTTTGCACCCCCTCCGGAGGTTGCGACAGCACCAAAAATGGCATCTGCAATAAATTTGCACATACCTGGAGGGTATGCTGCACTTGGACTTGTATTCCAACGGTTTCCAGTCTTTCCCATAAGTTTGTACGTGTGTCTGTGACCGCATTTCTGTGGAAGTGGACCCAAATACCTGTTAGTCTTGTCAAACTTTGGAAACCCCAAGTAGCACCTGCGGTCTTGAACCTGAAAATTACACATCAGTCGTGTAGGCTTGGATGTCAATGCGCCAAATTGGCACTGATGAATTGCTATTGTGATACCGTGGCACCATGCAGGTAAATTGTGGATCTCCTCCCATTGCCATATGGAGCCTGGGACCTCACCGTCAACGATCCCTAAATCTTCAGGGTGCTCAAGCAAAAACCATCCGTCATGCTGTACAACTACATAGCAAGCATTAATGCACTGCAAGACAAACTCATTGGCCTCGTTGACGATTTTCGCATTAACATTTGAAAGCCATGGGAATCCCTTAGGCCATGTGCGACTTCTGAGTGGCCTTGGGCCAGGATACCGTCGCCATTGAAATCGTGCACGTGAAAAGGTGTTGCACGGAGGACTGACGATCAAAAACCATCCTCCCTCCTTGAGTGTCTCACATATCTGGTCCCACAGCTCTTTGCTTCGCAAATCATGTGTCTCAGAACGTTCGATGTCAAATTCCTGCAACTGCAATCGAATCTTTCCAGCTTCCTCCAGCTTTTTCAAGAAAGTGCTGACATCCGATTGCCGCCGCTTCCCAGCAAACAAATAGAGAACCTTTACCAGCACTGGCTGTGCCGGTGGCCCGTTTGGCACGCCACCCCGGCTGGGATGGGTTGGCTGCCCATCATGTCACGAGCCAACAACTTCTTTGTGTTTGATGGCGGGATGGTCGCCATAACAGCCCTTGACCCGGCACTGATGAACTCGATCACATTTGCCATTGCAAGTGCCTGTATTGTAACCAAAGCACAACTCACGATTGTCTGGTGTCCTCCATGCCAGCTGCAAACCAGCTAACTCTTTACGGATCTCCTTTCCCTTGCCTTTTGAGCCTTTGCCCTTTCCCTTTTGTGTTTGAAATTTTCCGCCACCCTTGCTGTTGAACCTTTGAAACTTGTTCGGCTGAAAGCCCTCTGAGTGCTGTGACATGGAAGCGCGTAACGCAACAGGGGTGGTGAAAAACGTCTCCTTGAGCTCCGGGTCATGGATCACCCGGTGCAAAGCATCGGCAAGTGAGATACCATCTCTGACAATCATCTTGCAAGCCTCTTTACTTTTTTTTTCCGTCCAACGCCGTGTGGCTTCCGCCAGGTCGTTCAACATCTATCCAAGCATGTTGCATATGAGATTAATTCACGCAGAGGCCGAAGCTGTAGTGGCCGCAAAAGTAAACTGGTAGAGGACCGATACATAGTCCAAAGTCCTTGTCACGTTCCAGAGAACAAAAACCGAAACACAAAGAACCAAAAGCAAAAACAACACCAAAACAAACCCAAACAAAAACACAACCCACACAAAAAGAAAAACAACCACAAAGCCACAAAACCGTGACGTGACAGTTTCCAGTTTATGGGTGGAACAGATCTGTTGAGGCGAGAGGTGATAGCTTAGTATCATCTCGGCGCATGCAGATGACAACTTGTGTGTCATGTTCGCAGGCCCATAAAAATAAACAACAACAAGACCAACGACGAAATCACCATGGGCCAATTGAAGGGTGCGGGAA